GATCATGCCCAGGTTGCCCAGCACAGTGATGGTGTAGATGGTGAGGAAAACCAGGAAGAGTGGCCCCTGGAGGTCCGGATATTCTGAGAAGCCCAGGAGGATGAAGCTCACCCCAGCACTCTGGTTCTGTGTAATCCTATGGACAAAATGAAACAAGATGTAGTGAGATCAAAACTAGTCTATTCATATAGAAGGGAAAAATGAAGTGAGTGGTTATGGGCATCTGAGATATAGTACTGGTGAATAAACCAGTTCCTTGTGGCTACATAAGTCAATAGTTGACATGGACTTTGACAGCTCTTACAAAATAAATGAAAATGGTGTATTTCAGCTACTGAAACAAAAGTAAGCCTTGCCAAACAGAGGAACAGAATATGCTACACTATACTGTACAGAACCTTCTGTACTATGCCTTGAATAATAAATTTACCTCTCCCTGAGAGGCAATACAATTATTGCTACAGCATTGGTGCATTATGTTAAATCACTGTTAATGTTAATGGTGATATTTATGATAATGGATTACTGTTTTTCTTGTACATTTGCCACAGTTTTGAGGACAAATTGAGTTTATTTCCTCCTCCATGGCTTTAGAACATTTATAGATGGTCTCATAAACGTCAAGACAAGTGGACAATTGTCTATCCATAGGCCAGCTGGACCACATTTACCACTCCTTGGAAGATGTAAGAAATCTATACAGTAATCACAGTTGTTATCACACTAAAAGCTGTGATGTTTGTCACTGTCGGATTGGAGATGCTAGCACATGAGGCAGATCCAAGAACAAAGAAACTCAGGTTCTAACCATTGCTGGTGGCTACTTATTGAAGGATTCACTGCTACTGCATATTCTAAATCATTACTTTAATGTTGAAATAAGGATGCTAATGGTATTTAATTGAACTTATCACAATACAGCTATTAGTATGTACTAAAGGATAGAAAACCTAGCCTGTTATGAATAAATGTGCAGGGTTATATTTATTTAAACATAAGCAGTTTCTGTGGTTATAAATGTGCAAAGAAGTACTGTGTACTCATAGCCACAAAGGAAATACCAATCAAAACATCATCTCAACAGTCACCAAAATAACACAAAAAAATAACAAAATAACAAATTCTGAGGAGGAGCCAGAAAAGTAGAACCCTTTTACTTACTGGGTTGTATAGGGAGTCAAAACTCGTTGCAAACACAGGTCTATCAGTAAGTCAGTTTCCTAGCTATATTCCTACTAGTGTAACTTATTCTAAACTGAGATAGGTTATATGTGCTTCTCATAATAGCATTGGAAGAGCTATACATGGAAGAGCTATACATTGGAAGAGCTATTCATGGCTAACATGGGTTACACAGGGAAACTATGTTAAAAACTAGCAAACACAAAAAAATTAAGATAGTATTCTAAGTATCATGAAAATAATTTTCCATAATGTTTAATGTGATACCTGCAAGTTTAAGAAGTTCATTATGTTTGATTAATGAAAATCTTCCCTTTTTGTCTAATTTGTGGCAGCTTTCTAAATCTAGCTTTTTTAATTACGTTTTTTATTGTGAAAATACTGTACAGAGGGGCTACAGTTACATGAGCAAGGTAATGAGTACATTTCTTATCCAGCATTGTTGCCTCCTCCTTTGCTTTTCCTCTACCATCCCTGCCCTCCTGCCTCCTCAGCTACATGCCCAACTCCCCCCTTGCCTAAATTGTAAAGTTCGTTTTTCGACATAGCTTCTTGTACATCTCAGTGTTGCAATGGGTCAATCTGTATCCCTATTTAAACAATTTGTTTTTTTACCTTCTCCTCCCCAAATTATACCAACATTTAATATGGTGAAAACAGGGTTTATAATGAGGGGGAGGGACATACAATCTAGATTTTAATTCTCCTTGTAGTGTTCTCTACTGAGGATGGATTTCTCTACATATAACCCACATTCATATGGACAAATTTGCTTTCACATATAAACTCAGGGTTATAATGCTTTATTCACACAACTTTATGGTATACATTCCTCATTGCTTTGCTTTGTAGAGGCAAACATTAAAGTTGTTCACCATAATTACAAAAACTTCATTCTATCATTTACCAAAACAACTGTTCCTCTCACTTACCTACTCAGAGATCAAAGTTAAGTTAAAGATGATAATTTTTAATTCCCTATCAGCTTTGTCACTTTGTTGATGATCCTTAATGAATAAAAAATGAGAAACCTATCATGGAATCAGGACTTAGCACCCTATGTTCCTTTTTGAAACTAACTGTATTTGGAGGCTGGTTGGAAATACACAACTGCTTGTTCCTGAGAAAGATAACTAGGTCACAATATATTTTTCTTTCAGAGTAAAAATAACAGAAAAATAGAGTCAACTCACAAAAATACGGAAGCAGCTGAATGAGGCATCTATTGAAGAAGTCTTTACTAAGATTAGTAAACTCCTATTGTTTATTGTAAAATTAAAAGAAATATCTCTGAATCAGTGGAGTCATCCAAGTGCACTTGGGTGACTATTTCATAGGATATATTTTTCCAACTTAGTAAGATAATTCAGAGAAACTAGTCAAAAGATTACATAAAGAAAAAGGAAAGGAAATACTAGTACCAAGTCTTGTCATAAATATATATCCCATGACCTCTGGAGATCAGAAAACCAGGGAATATCACTGTGCATTGTAAAAGCAACAGTTTTGAGTAATTAGTTCTACCATTGTCCCAGGAGACAGCCTACTATTGCAGAACTTCCCCAAACCTCTGGAGAATTTTGGGTGATCAACTTCAATCATTAACGAAAGTGTTGAATGCATATTTCTTTACAGGGTGATTTAAATGTCCTAATGGGAAAATAAACTATTAAAATTAGTCTGCATAGAGCCAGGCACCAGTAACTCACTCCTGTAATCCTAGCTACTCAGACAGTTGAGATCTGAGCACTGAGGTTCAAAACAGCCAAAGCAGGAAAGTGCACGAGACTCTTTCCATTACTTAACCTTCAGAAAACCAGAAATGGCACTGTGGCTCAAAGTGGCAGAGTGCTAGCCTTGAGCAAGAAAGCTCAGGGACAGAACCCAGGCTCTGAATTCAGGTTCCATGACTGACTGACTGACTATATAGATAGATAGATAGATAGATAGATAGATAGATAGATAGATAGATAGATAGATAGATATGCACATATATAGTATTAAATGTACATATAGTATACATATTATAATACACATGTATGATATAGAATATATATGCTATAATACATGTAAAATGTAATATATATATAAGATATATATATAATCAGAGTGCTAGATTCTAGAGATGGATATCCCTACAACTTGAATTCATATTGAATTTATTTTGCTTATTTTATCACAATATATTACTGTAATTTAAAAACAATGCATTACTATTTTTATTACATTATATAAACTATATATATATAAATATTGCAAAATTATATTCCTATATTAGTTTATATCTAAGGGACTACATTTAAATTTTTCACTTCATGTTGAGAATTTGATGCTATGTTCTAACTCATCACTCATTCTACCTCCAGCGAAACCAGGTTGAGTATGGATTTCTAGCCATCTTTATCACAGAGTTCTTTCCAGGTCCATCGGCTACACCGATATTAGCACACATGTGAGACTGGCTGAGGATATAACACTAGATTGACATTCACTGCCAAATTAGCCAGTATTGCCATGAGTTTAGAAAATTCAACTGTGGGTATCTTGAAGTTTTGGAAGGTCCACTGAGGAAAGATAGACACAAACAAACCTGAATTGCCCAGCCTGAATTGCTAGATTGTACTATTATTGAGGAAACAACATAAAGTATAATTGGTGTCTAAACTATTTTCTTGAGAATGAAAATGAACCTAAGTTTATATAAGAAAATATTCAAAGAAAATGCCCTTGATTGACACATAGCTACAATGGCACAAATGGAAAAACTAAGGTCACGAACATACACTTGCACAGTATACAACGTACACAGTGCAATTACGTGGGAAAGATTTTTAACAAAGCCAAAGAATAAAAAACAAAAACAAAAACCTAGACAACTGGATGCCAGTGGATCACTACTATAATGCTAGCTATTCAGGAGGCTGAGATCTGAGAATTGCAATTTGGACTAAACTTGAATACACAAACATCTCAAGATACTTATCTCAGATTATCCAGCAAATGGCTATAGGTGGAGGCATAGCTGAAGGAGTATACAGCTAGGCATAATTAACAAAGCCAAGGCTAGAGTGGTGATCATATGATATGTATATTTGAAGTATGCAGAAGGAATTATATTGTTTTTCATCTTTAAGAAGTAAAACCTGACCAATATAGTGGCTCATATGCCTTAATCTCAGCTACGCAGGAGGCCGAGATTGAAAGAATCACAATTTCAGTTCAGCAAGATCCCACTCACAAGTTGGACAGAGAAAGGTCAGACGTTGGGGGGATGACAGTCTGGGATCAAGTCCAGGAAAAATGTGGAGACCCTCGATGAAAAAAATGACTGGAGGACAAAAAGGCTAGATATGTGCCTCCTGTCTAGAAAGTGCAAGGCACTAAAGTACCACCTGCCCGCAGGCATGCGGAGCACCACAAACAATTAGAAAAATGTTTCAGGAGATGAATATGTTTAGCCAGATTCAAACAATACTCACATATATCAAACATAACCTGATATCCCGTGAATGTGTACTGTGTTTTGAGTTTTAATGAAATGTTTTAAAGTAAAAGAAAGAAAAAGAAACTAAAAGAAAGAAAACTCATATTTAACATTTTAAAAATTTCTAGGTAAACCCTCTGTTACTCTTGCTATTTACCATGGATAGTAAGAAGACTGACTTTTCTAAAACTGTATGTTGCAAATGCATGCAACTTAGTTTAAAATATCATTTGCAATAAAAACTCCATCTTGGATAAAAACATACCTATAGCTCTTTCTTTTAACCATCAGTGGGTACACTCTAGTGTTAATTAAGCAGAACAGTTACATATTTACATGCCATCTCAGGCACAACAGTCTGGTTGCAGCAGACAAATGAGCTGTCATTGTAGAACACTATACTAATTCAGAAACAATTATAGGGTGCTTGTTATATAAATTAACATTGTCTCTCAGTATCAAAGAAAAAAGTGTGTTCAAAGAAGTAAATGTTCTCCTCAATATTCCTCATCACATCTGACTTGTAGATGCACAGTAGGAGGTTGCCAATGCTCACACCCAGTTATTTTGTGCTTGGTCATATGACTTGTTCTAAGTTATACTGCATCACTAAACAAATAGAAACTTGTGGCATGATTTTATACTTACTATACTCAACTGTGACTTTGCTCCAGAAAAGATGGCAAGTCTTAGGCCAGGCAATTGAACATTTCTTGATCCAAGTCACTCATTCACACAACCCAGGCAGTTCAATGGATCTCAGCATAGATATGTCAAGCTCATTGATACATGGATTCAAGTTGTATATCACCTGAGATTAAGGTTGCTTATTTATTATCCCTCAATTTCATATCTGTATTTTACACCAATATCAATATCATGATTGTTATACTGTGCTGTGATAGGGTACAATGTAAAAATACTTGATACTGTTCCACATTTTTACTTACAAATTCAAATAAATTTTCAAGAATAAATTAGTGACATACCATCACATTATCAGAAAAGACAATGAGATAGAGGCATAAACTTATAAAATATATTGATTCATTTACGGGTGCAAAAGGAAAAATGGGATTTGTGATATAAAAATGATTTTTATTAATTTAAAATAATCATACAAAAGGATTTCAATTCAGCATGTAGCTATCTCAGGACAATGCATCTTGATCACCATTCAACCTGGCAATCGGTATAAAGAATCTTGATCAGCATCTCACCACCTCCCACACTCTCTCATCCTGCCAACCTCTCCCAAGCAAAGCATACTGTCAAAATAGTTGGTTCCATAATCACATGTTTAAGTTGAGTAAAATGAATTCACTTGCCCTTTGTCTCTTTGAGCCTGACTTATTTCAGTTAACATTTGGTTTCTCAGATCTGTCAATTTCCTTGCAAATGGTATTTTATTCTTTTTGATGGATGAATAAAATTTATACACACACCCACACCTTTATGTATATGAATGCATACATAAACTCTTCTACATCTTATTTCTTCCATATTTCTTCCCCATTATTTTAACCATGCTGAATTATAATCATTTTTAGATGTTTTATATGATTTACATCATCTTTCTATTAAACTAGATATAGTTGTTTGGACTTTTTGTTTGTCTGTTTGGAGATTTTTGTTGTTGTTGCTGTTGTTGTGTTATTGTCCATCATGGGGCTTTAACTCAGCCTAGGCACTCTTTTTTTAAATAAGTTTTTTATTGTGAAAATACTGTACAGAAGGGTTACAATTACATGAGCAAGAATGGGTCAATTTCTTATCAAGCATTGTTGCCTCCTCCTTTGTTTTTCCCCTACCATCCCTTCCCTCCCATCTCCATGACTTCACTCCCCCTCACCCCCCATCCAAATTGTAAAGTTCATTTTTCAACATAGGGTCTAGTATATTTTATTATTGCAGTGGACTGTCCCTGCACTCTTCAGCTCAAAGATAGCACTCTACCACTTGAGCCACAGTGCCACTTCTGGTTTTCTGGTGGTTAATTGGAGATAAGAGTCCAACAGGCTTTCCTGCCTGGACTGGCTTTGAATCAGGATCCTCAGATTTCAGACTACTGAGTAGCTAGGATCACTGGCATGAGCCACCAGCTAGAAATAGTTTTGACATGGTGATTTTTTAAATACATCTCAATCTAGAAATTTGAAAGTATGAGTTCAATTTCCATAGTACAAATCTTCAGAGCATCTTGAAAATCCAGCACTTATGAAGAAGTGTTCACATGCTGTCTTCACTGGTAATCACTCAATACAGTACTAACACAGCTGGATATTGCTGGCTTACACCTGTGATTCTGAATAATAAGGAAGCTGAGAAAAGAGAGTTATATTTCAAGACCAGCTTTGATAAAAGAGTGCATAAGATTTCATTTCCAAAATAACCAGCCAAAAACATAAACAGAGGTATGCTACCTGTGGTAGATTACCCAGTCATGTACAAGATAATTCAAGCAAATTGAGGACTTGAGTTCAAGCCCCAATTTTTTTAAAAAAAGGAAAAAAGGAGGTAATAATGCTCAATAGGAAATGTACTCATTACCTTGTTCATGTAATTGTAACCCCTCTGTACAGCATTTTTACAATAAAAATGTAAAAGAAAAAGGAAACAGTATTAACATAAAATGGGTCAAATAGCTGAATCAAAGACTTAGTTCAAATGGCTTGAGTGTATAATGAATATAATAATATGAATATAATAATAAATGAATATAATAGTATTTATAAGTCAGAAGCAGAGATTTTTTTTAATATTGGAAGATGTGTAAGTATTCCACGTATAGGAATAGAATAAATTTTATATTGATTTGTAATTACATCAAAGTACCAGAATCAAATTTTTTGACATGTTAATTGGGAAGTGATTAGCCTCCTGGCTGCCTGCTTCACATCTTTGTTCCTAAGACTGTAAATCAGTGGATTCAGCATAGGGACGACCACAGTGTAAAAGACAGAGGCAATCTCTACCAACAACCATGAGCTTTTGGTGGTAGGAAAACAGTAGAGGAAAAGGATGGGGCCATGGAAAATAGCAATGGCGGTGAGGTGGGAAGCACATGTGCAGAATGCTTTGTAGCGCCCCGCAGTGGAGGGCATTCTCATCACCGTGACAAAAATAAACACATAGGAAGTGAAAACAATGCCCAGGCTGGTTATTTGATTGAATGTGGTAACGATTACAAGAGACAACTGACTCACATAAAAGTCAGAGCAGGACACAGCAATAACGGCCGAATGCTCACACACAAAGTTGTTTATAACCTTTGTCCCACAGAAATTCAAAGTTAACATAAAGTATGTGACTCCCAAAGTACACGCAACACCCCAGAAGTAGGATGCAGCCACCAACAAAGAACACAGCTTCCTGGACATGGCCACCGTGTAGAGGAGAGGGTTACAAACGGCCACAAATCGGTCATAGGCCATGGCTGCCAACATAAAAGTTTCTGTTATCACACAGGTACATGCAAAGAAGAACTGGCTGATACAGCCTGCAAAGGAGAAGCTTCTGTCCTCCACAATCAGGTTCTCCAGGAGCTTGGGGGTGACAACAGAAGAGTAGCAGAAATCCACAAAGGACAGGTGACTGAGGAAAAAGTACATGGGGGTGTGGAGCTTGGGATTAAGTCTGATGATGGCGATCATGCCCAGGTTGCCCAGCACAGTGATGGTGTAGATGGTGAGGAAAACCAGGAAGAGTGGCCCCTGGAGGTCCGGATATTCTGAGAAGCCCAGGAGGATGAAGCTCACCCCATTAGTCTGGTTTTCATTGATCCTATGGACAAAATAGCACATTTGGTTCAGAGAGATCAAAGCCAGTGTTATTAATGGAGAAGGGACAGGAAGAAATGAGAGAGTAAAGGAAGCTGAGATAGAATGATGCAGAACAAAAATTTTGGCCAATCAAATTCAACAATCCATCCAAAAGATCATACACCACGATCAAACAAGATTCATTTCAGGGATGCAAAGCTGATTCAATATACCCAAATCAATTAATATAATTCATCACATCAACAGGAGCAAGGATAAGAACCACATGGTTATCTCAATAGATGCAGAAAAAGCAGTTGACAAGATCCAATACCCCTTTATGATGAATGTCTTGGAAAACTTAGGAATCCATGGAACATTCCTCAATACAATAAAGGCTGCATATCACAAACCTACAGCCAGCATTATACTTAATGGTGAAAAACTAAAGCCATTGCCTCTTAACTCAGGAACAAGAAAAGGATGTCCACTCTCTCCACTTCTCTTCAATCTAGTACTAGAATGCCTAGCTACAGCAATAAGACAAGATGCAAACATAAAGGGGATCCAAATAGGGAAAGAAGAAATAAAACTCTCCCTCTTTGCAGATGACATGATCTTGTACTTAAAGAATCCCATAGACTCCACTCCCAAATTACTCAAGCTGATTCAAAACTTTGGCAAATTAGCAGGGTATAAAATTCACCCTGAAAAATCAATGGCTTTTTTGTATGCCAACAATGAGAAAAGTGTGGCAGAAATTAGGAAAACAACTCCATTCCTAATAGCCCCACAAAAAATAAAATACCTAGGAATTAACTTAACCAAAGAAGGGAAGGACCTCTATGATGAAAACTTTAAAAACTTGAAAAAGGAAATCAAACAGAACTTAGAAAGTGGCAAAAATTCCCATGCTCCTTGATAGGAAAGATGAACATCGTGAAAATGGCAATACTTCCCAAGGCTATGGACAAATTCAATGTGATACCTATCAAAATTCCAACCTCATTCTTCAAGGAAATAGAAGAGGCAATCCAAAATTCACATGGAACAATAAAAGACCCCGAATAGCAAAAATGATCCTCAACAGAAAGAACACTGCTGGAGGAATATCAATACCAAATTTCAAACTCTACTATAAAGCCATAGTAATCCAAACAGCTTAGTACTGGCACAAGAACAGACCTCAGAGTAGAACTGAAAACCCAGAAAGGAACCTACAGACCTATAGCCATCTAATCTTCGATAAGGGAGCTAAAAAAATAGAATGGAAAAAAGACAGCCTCTTCAGTAAATGGTGCTGGCAAAATTGGTTAACTACTTGTACAAAACTAAAGCTAGATCCTTATATATCACCCTGCACCAGAATCAACTCCAAATGGATCAAAGACCTCAGAGTCAAAGCAGACATTCTGAAAACATTATAGGATGGAATAGGAGAAACCCTAGGTCTCTTTGGCACAGGCCCAAATTTTCTTAATAGAGACCCAGAAACACAACAAATCAAAGAAAGGTTGGACAAATGGGATTGCATGATATTGCAGAGCTTCTGCATGGCAAAGGTCATAGTTAGCAAGGTCAATAGTAAGCCTATGGACTGGGAGAAGATCTTCACTAGCCATACAACAGAAAAGGGTCTCATATCTAAAATATACTTGGAACTCAAAAAATTAACTCCCTCAAAAACAAATCCTCAAAGAATCAACTGCCCAATAAATAAGTGGTGAAAGACTTAAAGAGAAATTTCTCTGAAGAGTAAAGAAGGATGGCCAGTAGACATATGAAGAAATGCTCAACCTCCCTAGCCATAAAGGAAATGTAATTCAAAACGACATTGAGATACCACCTCACTCCAGTTAGAATGGCTAAAATCAAGAACTCTAACAACAACAGATGCTGGAGGGGATGTGGACAGAAGGGAACATTACTGCATTGTTGGTGGGAGTGTAAACTTGTTCAAACACTTTGGAAAATAGTATGGAGGTTCCTCAAAAGACCTCACATAGAGCTCCCCTATGACCCAGCATTCCCACTTTTGGGCATTTACCCAAATGTTTACAAACAATACCACACTAAAGCTACCAGCATGACTGTTTATTGCAGCACTATTTACTATAGCTAAGATATGGAACCAACCCAGATGCCCCTCAGTAGATGAATGGATCAAGAAAACGTGGTATATAGACACAATGGAATTCTATACCTCCATCAGAAAGAATGACATTGCCTCATTTGTTAGAAAATGGAAAGACTTGAAAATATTATATGAAGTGAAGTAAGCCAGGCCCAAAGAAACATAGGTCCCATAGTTTCCCTTATTTGCAATATCTAGTATATGTCTGAGTCAAGCAGGAAAGGTCTGATAAGGTGATGTTAGGGAAATGAACCCTAAGATATGTACTCAAATTTTTTTTTCTTTCATGGGAGTGTTTCTATCACATTTATAAGATTATTTCTTTGTTGCTTTGTATGTCCCTCCCCCACAGTATAACCCCTGCTTTCACTGTATTTGATGTCGGTATAATTTGTGGAG